TTTTTTGCACTTTCTGAAGTAATGCGTTTTTCGCTAACGCATAAAGTAATTTTTTTCATTTTTTGTCAGTGCCTTGAGATCTGTAGGATTCGTTCCATTTTCAAAAATAAAGTGTCAGATTAAAAAGCTTGACTTGTGGACAATAGGAGGTTTACTATTTTAGAGAGCTGCCATCTGTAAAAAATTTGATTAATTTTTTATTTTTTTTTAATTAAATGATTTATTAAGATATGGGTATCTATCGAACTGTGTATTGGCTACATCTAGAGAGTTGCAATCTGTTTAAAAAATCAAATTCTACTTGAATTAAAGGAATTGGGTAATTGAAATAGATAGGTATCACCATAAGGGAGTAAGACGAAAGAGGTTTAAGAAGGTTTTAGCTTAAAAAAATTACGAATAGGGTTGTCACCTGTTTGTAAAATCGAATTTAGTTAAACTAAAATAATAATTACGTCAAACCATAAGATTACGCCATCGTATTTGTTGTTTTATTACAAATATATACATTGTCAATCAATGATTTTTTCTGACTACATTCCTTTTAAATTAGTGGACTCTTAAATTAACTCAGGAATCTTTTTACTCTCCACTTATTTCTTGCTAAATATGTCAAATTTTTTCATTTGTCTGATATTCCTATTGATATACATATTTCAGTTACCTTATTCCCTTAATTAAAGTGAATTTAAATTTTTAAACATGTGGCAACCCTTTTCAAAAGTAAGAAACTTTATTGCACATCTACAGGCCAAGCACTGTCATTTGACACCTCACTTTTGAAAATAGAACGAACTATATGTACATACCTATGTAAAAGCGACAAGAACCCAAATTTTCAACATCAAACTGTATTTGCAGTGAAAGTATGAAAGTAATCCAAAAACAGCGTCCTCAATTTTACTCAGAAGCGACTTTTCATTTAAATTCGTCCACAACTCTATTTTTGCCCACATTTTATATGTGCGCCTGGCCGCCTTACAAGTCTGACAAAGAAGATATTATGCCAAGGCATCTACAAATCCTTCAGCGTAGCGGAGCTTTTGTAAACCATCTTTTTCAAAATTCATGCTGATGACTTGCACATTTAGTGGGCATATCAACGGCGTGCCGCGGCATGTCTTTCTGTCCGAAAAAATGTATGGGATTTTTGAATTACAAGATAACCGATAATCTAATCAACTTCGAAAGATCAGATAACATTTGTAGTTTAAAAAGCTATAATTTGGTCATTCGCCAAGTATTTGTCATGATCAATAAATACATGCATACTTCACTATACTCTAACTATACATACATACATATAAAACATCTGAAATACAAATAGTTCAGGTACGTAAATATTATTAGGTATGTAATAAAATACTACTTAATAAATGTTTTAATAATCAAGATTGAGACAAAGAAAAAAACGAGTAGTATTTATAGCTAAGTCATTGTTAGCCTGCGGTTTCAAAACATATCCTTGGAATTTGTATGTTTATCTCAAACTGTCACAAATTCTTACCATATTTGGCAAAGTCATTTCGAAAAAGCCAAATGCAAAGTACATATTATTTTAATTGAAAATTTACGTTAGTTTCGGAATAATTCGCACAGTAGGAGCAATTGCAACGAAAGAAATATTCGGAATAAGCGGACTAAAAATTTTCTACTGACGTTCTTTCTTCGTGTAGAGAAAAATTGTTCTTTTGTTGATCTAGTTCATGCCTGTTAGCGCGGAAGTTTTTGAAAATATATGTTGAAGCATCGTGCGCTGCCGCAGGCATTATAAAAAACAAAAATGTCAAAAAATGCATAGCTCTGATGCAGGTTACAACTTTGGCAAAAATCCAGCTTTCGCCTAATTATTACAAAGTAAAATGCCTTTTTTCGTCGTACTACTGTAAGTACATTTTTTTTTTTTTTTTTAGAAAAAATTTGTTTTTAAAGCGCAGATAAATTTTAAACCCTACTTGAGAAAACTTTCCTAAGATATCGAAATTCAGAAATGGGTGAAATTTTCTCCTGAAGGTCAGATGGGAATCCTTTACCTTTTTACCCAGAAGGAAATAAGGAACTGCTCAACCACTCCATGCTGAGGGAGTATGTTTAGGCCGAGCACAGAGCAAAATTTACTGTTATCCAAACGGAAAAAAATTAGAATAAAATAAGAATGGAAATACCAATTTTTGTATACATTTAAGTATCTTTTTCTAAGCAGCTAAATTTGAATAAAAATTCGTGGAATTACTACATTAGAATCATCGCTAAAAATACAACAAGCAACTCAGCAATATTAAAAAACACGTACATATATATATATTATATATATATATATATACATAAAAACATAAGTATTGCTGTGAAAAATTTTTGGTATTGTATTTTCTTTGTTTTGAAATTTGTCTTTTGATTGACATTCAACTACTTGCACATATTAAAGGCCAAAGATTGCTGCATAATAATAACAGATTGGCACTTATATAATATTTTAATGTTTGGCCGAGCTTCTCCTCCGATTTGTGGCCTGCTCCTTGGTGTTGTCACACAAATGGGAGGAACAACCTACAGATTTACGCCGACTCCGGAAGGAGATTATATTTTTATGAGAAGCTGTTTTTCATGGCAGAAATATACTTGGAGGTTTGCCATTGCCTGCCAATTTTTTCTTTTATTTTATTGAAAACTGGGCTTGAACCCAGGCCCTGCGGGATGATAGTATGCACAGCTAACCATTACACCACAGCGGTCGCAACATACTGAGTCATAACTTTCCGTTTTCAATTCTACGTCGCATGCTTCATAAAATTTATAACTGGATTATGCAGTCAAAGATTATTGAATCATTCAAAAATTAAATGAACAAAAAAAATTGTGGCATTCCCAGTTTAGGCATGCCTAAATACTAAAGTAGAAAACAATCAAAAACCCAAGTAAAAAGAAGTATAGTATCTAAGAAATGCTAACTACTCAAGTAAGTACTAGAGGGAAGCGAAAAACTACAACGCGAATGTATTAAGTAGATTTCTAAATGCTTAACGGTTCAGTAAAAAGTAGAATTATCGGTAGTTTTTGCTTTTTAATTGTCATGCCTTCATAAATGCTAAGTAATTTTCGGAAATTTCGAAACTTTTAAAAATTTTCTTCGGAGTGCTTGGGATATTTGATGCAGTCTTTCGCTTTGTGGCGGTCGCTGTGCTTGAGCGGTTGGAGATCCCTGGCCCGCCTAAAACATCTAAATATTCTTCCGTAAAAATGCTTTTTATAATATCTACTCGCCGATATGAGTCGTAAAATTGTAGGTCCTTCCATTTGTGTAAAAGCACAAGGACGCACCCCACACGGTTTAAATTTTTCGGAATTTTTATGAAAAATTTTGAAATTTTGACAGGACCTTTTTGATTTTTTTCAGAAAAATTGGGTAATAATCTCGACAATCTCGAAAGAGCACGAAACGGAAATCTTTGGGGATTCTTCATGGTCTATTTATTGGGCTCTTTCGGCATTTTGAAGTCACGAGACCGAGAACGAAAACATTAATAATTTTCGGACGTTATTTCGGGGCTTTCGGCACTTCTCGGGATTATATTTCGTATAGCATTTAGTAAAGCCATGTCGCTAGGTAAAAAAAAACTAAAAGCTTTTACGCTGGGTACCTTTATGACTTGTAAACTATGTAATTACTACATATTGTAATACATATTAAATGAAATAGATTAAGTACATATTATTTCGTGTTACTACCACATATCAATAGGTTAATAATCAAGGGAATCAGACAGCATTTGTTCAGTATGACAATTTTTATGATGATCGTTTAAAGGAGCTCTGTTGAACTGCATCAAATTTTCCATAAAGTAAATATTCTGACTTATCACCTTTGGAAATTAACCGATTCATATATAACTTAAACCCTTTGTACTTATTAGTTTAAAATAAATAAATACAATTTTGCCCATCACTGTACTATGGTCCCAATGCCTGTTTTTCTGGCCAAAACTAATTACGACTAAATAAGTAGATGATTTAAATAAACCTGCGTTTTTTATTGACTAACATATGATTTTCCACACTTTTTGTAAAAAAAAAAAAATATTTTAACCCTTGACGACCGAAGGGGTCTAAGAAATCACTATTTAACTTGAGGTTGTGTTAAAAAAGTTTGTAAGTAGTTTTTTTTTAATATTCGTATGAAAGAACAATAAAATTACACTCAGCTGTATACTCCATTTATACAGTGGGAATAAAAAAAAAATTAAGTAAATTAGCTAATTTCAATTTAAAGCCTGAGTTTCTTAATTTACCTACTGAAAAGTTAAAAAGAACAACCTTTGCAACAACAAGATTGAAAACAGTTTTTCTACTTCTTTAATATGAACAGCGTCTGGCCATTTTCTGAAAAAGGTTTTTGGGGTCCTATTACTCGATGCAAAAATAATTCTAAGATTAGTGTAATTAATTTTCTTTAACATATAAATGCCTAAGCGTGATTAAGTGCCGCGTTTTCTTTCATTATCTACCGATACGATTTCCATTGCCTGCCGATGGGAGACCGCCACTAGAAAATCGACGTCCGCTAGGTATTTTCTTCTAATTAATTGGCGCAGGCAATCTTATTTAAAATGGAGGCATGTACACTTTAATTCTGGATCCGAACAAAATTAGGGGTTTTAAGAGCTTTTTCATGGCAGAGTACTACTCGTAAGTAGGTTGTTGCTTTTATAAATTGCGATAAAAAATTCTATACATTTTGACATTACTCGAACGGGTCAGGATTCGAACCCGTAACTCTTAAATGCGATCAGCCAAACTTCACTTAGCACACTCGGCTACAGAGGTGAGATAAAACAAAAAATATATGTCAATAAGTAAAAATAAATAAATCCATTCTAGTGAAAAACGTTCGCAACTAATGCCAGAATTGCAGAAAGACTAAAATTTTTTGGATTTAAATGATATTTGTTTATAATTTATTTCTATTAACTTTCTTTAGTTAGTTAGTTTTCATTCGTATTTTTGTCTAAAACTCTTCAAACATTTTACATATTCATTTAAATCTAGAATAAATTAGTACAGCTTATATGTAAATATAATCAGTGTTTGATTATGTCAGACAAACACGCAAGCACCGACCCCTGTTTTTCACAAGAACAGGAAAGGAGATTCCATTGACGCAGCAAAATTACCGCAGCAGTAATTTAACATTTAATGCCATCTGCAAAGTAAAAACACAACAATTAAAAAAACAAAAATTTAGCAATAAGATTAGATAAATGAGCAAAGAGCAAAGGTTTTTTTGCTTGACGATAAGCGTAGTATTATTATGAAAACATTTTATGTTTATGGATTCCCCAAGCAGTGGGAATAGAATTCTCGCTTAAATAACATACACACATATGTATGCACATATGTATGTATGTATGTGATAAAAGCAAAGGAAACAAACACTCACTACTGTTGAATGACAGCAGACGTCGACAAATCCCGCGATGATCCCGCATGTGACACTTCGCACAAGGTTTTTCTTTCGCTCGCGCCGATAAAATCTGTGACGTGAAAATTTGTATGCGTTGTGGCGCATAGAAGATGACACGCCGGCTTTCCGTTTCAGTTGGCATGCTTACCACCAGCAAGGTGCACACTAACAATGTGCAGACAGAGAATTGCAATAACTTCGAAAACATTTTATTTTTGCTTTTAGTTGCAATTTAACTGAGCAGACATTCAATTTTATGTGTTGTGTGTATGATTTTCAATTAGCTATTTATTTATGCAAGTTTATAGAACACTTGTGCATGCAGTCACTTTATTATTTCGCCTTATTTTTTTCTTTGCTCCACTTTAATATGTAGCTGCGATAAATATGTATTTATTTAGGCTTTCCCAATTTGTACAAGTCAAAATTTAACTGTTTCACAGCGAATGCCGGTCTTTAACTGATTATAAATGATTTCTCGTGCTACTACTTAAGACGCCCCTTTAACCGTGAACGACAATGATAGCGAAACGAAGGTGGATGCATTGTTGTTGTTGGCCAGCTGCAATCACAGCTGTAGTTCGGAAGTATGGCAAAAGGGTTGAGTGGAGAGCGTTAAATGTAGACATGTTTTTCCCTAGCTACCTTGTGTATCGACACATATTGATAAGAAGTGTTTTCTTTATCTTTTTGGTGTGTTTTTTTCTTGTTTGATAATTGAACATAAGTAAGATAAGTTCGCCTATAGGGTGTTTGGAAATGGTGCAGTGTTTAAAAAGACCTCAATTGGTTAATATTATTTAAAGAAAATGTGACTTTAAAATCAAATATATTGAAGTTGTTCACGCTTGCCTGGTTATCACATTATGTGGTTTGATTTTTTACTCAGTTTACAATAACAAAATACACTACACAATAATAATTTTTAACCAGATAACCTGATAACCAGGCAAGTTTGAACAACCTCACATACTTCACTATCTATATGGCATAGCCGCATCAGACTTGAAATATTACGTATACGCCCTGTATAAATGCAATAGGCATATCCAGAAACGAAAAAAAATTTCATGCAATCTAAATTCTCGCATTTTTGTATCATATCGAGGGCTTATATTCAATACCATCTATAGGCAAATTTTCACAATAACTACTTGGTGATATTAGAACCCATCTGGGACTTAAACCTAACTTTGCAGTTTAATAGTAAATTCTTCTGTCAAGCGTTATACAAGGTCAGCATTAATACGTACGGTTTTAATATTCCGGACACTCGATAATTCGGACACCGCGGTAATCCGGACATGCGCGGAGTCTCCATTGTGAACTCTGTAATCCGAACATGATGCCAATACTTAGTACTCGATAATTCGGACGTTTTATATTTTATTTTGTTTTTGTCTCTGAAATGATATCCACTCGAAGTTATTTACTCCCAACGGGAATTGCTGTTATTTTTTTCAATTACCATAGTATTCATTGGCTCACCATGGCAACGGCTATGTCTTTACGTAGCTAAGTTGTCGTCAAGTGACAAGAGCCTACTTAAAAGGAAAACGATGAGATATGCGCAATGCCAGATTATGGAGGAACGCCTAAACAATTGGCTTACAAAAAACGAAAGCTGAAAGTACCTGTATCCTCTGAAATTCTTCTAGAATTCGTGATTATATGATGTAGAATGATTATGTGATGTAGAATTTTTCGTAAGTAAGGGCTGGTTTAACAACTTTCGATCAAGATATGGAATTGAATTTCTAAAAATATCTGGGGAAAATTAACGAATGACTATAAGGCTTTGCAACCATTTATTGAACAACTTCAGACAAAAGTTCATGAAATGGGGTTAACAAATTCTCAAGTATATAATGCAGACGAAACAATTACCAGATAAAACACTTGCGCTGCATACTGAAAAAAAAACAGCACCTGGATGCAAAATTTCTAAGGAGCGAATCACGTTATTGGTTTGTTGCAATTCATCCGGGAAACATAAGTTAACACTGTTAAAGATCGGAAAAGCGAAAAATCATAGTGCAACCAATGGATCGAAATGCTATCCGAATTCTGAAAGTGAACTATCGTAAAATTTTCTTATCATTTACTTTATCAAATTTAACCGATAATTTGACGGATGCTATTAAAAAATTTTGTTTAAAAGACATTGCGTTTTTGGCGACGAATGCTTGGACCGCAGTAAGCACTAATGCACTTCAAACATGTTTCAGTAAAATCTTGAAAAAAAGAATTGGATTCGGATGACGACTTGCCCCTTTCGAAATTACGCTATAATTACTTAACTAGAGTAATCGACGTGCTGGTTGAAATAAGTCCGGATGTGTATCAGAATAATGACGAAGATATAGATCAGGAAGAGGAAAGTGAGGACGGCGAAGAAATTTAGAATGCTATTTTAGAATGAAAGAAAAAAATCCCATTCAGATATTATTGGTGCATTAAACACTTTCATACAATATGCTGAAGAGCAGGATTTTAGCTCCGGAGATATTTTGAAAGTTATTGGCCTAAGAGAAATAGCTTACAAACATCGCAATCAAAAAAAAACTTCGTCAAACCAAAATCACGAGTTTTCTTCAACAATAATATACAACTTAGTATACATTATTTTCATGAATTGAAGTTTTTTGTTATTTTATATATGTACATGTATATAATAAAATCTTGATGTGAAAATCATAAAATGAAATAAAAATGAACTAAGCTGTTAAAAAACATTTAAAATTTTTAATTTTTTTAGGACTTCGATAATCCGAACATTTCGATAATACGGTCACTGCTCTGATTTTAATTGTCCGGATTATCAAATGTATCACCGATCACAGTTAAGTCTTAGGTAGATTTTAATATCAAAATCTAGTTTTTGTGAAAAGTGTAGGCAGATGGTATTGGGTTATTTTAAATTTTTCTTTTCACACTTGTTTGAGAAATCGCATAGCCCATCTTACACACAATATCGCGTTAAAACAATCAATTTTCTCAAATTTAAAAACTGTAACGTTCGCAACGACTTTTCACGTAACGTAAAATTTTTTAAATTGTCATATTTTGCTCACAAAAAAATTAAAAGAAACGTTCGAACTCAACGTGCATATGTGCAACATGGGAAGAGTTTATTAATCGAATAAACCTGCTTTAGTGGAGCTACCTATTTGAAAAATTATATACTCGTACATTTGTCAATGCCTATGCGATTTTGGCGAGTTCAACAAATCACGCCAGTCGTTTCTCCTCTGTGCCAAATAGCGGCGATTGGAAATGCCGAGTGAAGCAGAGTCATTCTCCACTTGGTCTTTTCATGGAATGGGAGACCTCCTCTGCTACGACCAGCGGGTTCCGAGTTGAATATTTCAGAGCTGGAGCATCGATGTCTGGAAACTGGATTAACAGGATTCTCATAAATGAAATCGTCTTCCATAAATAAAGGGAATGATGTTTGTTAATTCTATTTAATTTTAAAAAAGAAACCACTATAAGGACGGCATATCTGGAAAGTCCACAGATGGAGTGGAATCTCCATTCATGTGATAAAAGACGAATCGGGAATCAATTCAAGTTCTTAACAGCTGATTTTGAAAAAAAAAGCTTTTTTAGGCATTGGCTTATATTCTGCATTTTATAGCCATACAAAGTTTCAGTGATCTCTTGTTTTACGTTTGTATGTAAAAACTCCAGAGTGCAAAAAAAAAAATTGGTGCATGCCTAGTATTAATTGTGTGAAACACCCTGTTTACAATATTATTACCACCTGCTATATTTGCATACATACATTCAACATCCGCTTTTCTACGTAATAGCATATGTAAATTGCATGCTAAGTATTGTTTAATTATACTGGCGTCATTTGACCACATCAATTAAAAGAAAAGGATGGGCCATGACGATATAACCAAACAAGAAAACAACTGTTCTTAGAAATCCGCATACTTTGCAGATATGGCCTTATCGCATGAGAGCACATTTGACAGTTTCTAAGCGAACGAAAGTATTTTATTTGGTCTTAAATCCAGAGAAACTTCCATGCGAAGAGCTGTCAATATAGGTAAGTATTGATGATGGATCTGCCAGTGCTGCTACCAAAAGCCTAACCAATTATTGGTAAGCAGCACATGACTAATAACAAGTAATGAATTAGTGAAGAAAACGTGATCAGCGGCGTGGGAAATCCACAGTGACTACATACGAGTATGCGTGTATGTGTGCTTTTGAATTTTTAGTGGTTTAAAAAGATTTACTATAACAATGTGACTTCCTGAACGCAGTAAGTTAATCGTTTAAAATTTTTTTGAGTCCGAGCACGTAAAATGCTATCTTCAAAGAGTAAGTAGTATACAGAAAACATATTTAGATTCTAGAGATTACGCGAAAAAAAATGTATAGTCGCTATAGAAAATAATGCTAGTTATATTTTTTTTTTTGGCGGACGCGTGACGTCAAATCGATTGAGGGGGTTATTATATTTCTAAAAATTTTGTGGTGTGGATACTGATTTAAGTTAACTCCGTAATATTCGCTTATTGACTGCTTCTACTAAGAGGTTCCGAAAGGACTAAGCGAAACTCGATATATTTCAATATTAAAATGAAAGGCACTATTTATAGATATTAAATGTGATCCGAATTTCACATTACTTGCCAATGATAAACGTCATCTATGTACACTTGCTATGTAAATAACGATGAAAATATGATTAATAATACATTTATGTACACAAACATGACTAGCAAATATTTCATCTAAGTCATTTATAGCATACAATCTATGGGTATAAATCATAAATTACGTGCATGTCATATTTGCATACTGACTTGCAGTTCTATGATTAATTTCAACATTTTGAGAAATTTATACTATTTTACCTCTTTTGCTTGTTATTCTTCGAAATTTGCAGGGATCGAACATAGCTGTTATTGATGAAAACTGTCATTGAAAAATTCACTATGAAGGAAATGTGCTACAACTAAGTGATACATACCAATATATATATTTTTTTGATTTTTATGCAAAATTTTAAAGAAGGGTAAGTTGACTTTGGTTAAATGTTTCAATAGGCGGAATAACGAGCAGTCATTTTGATAGTAGAATAGCATGATTTAGACGTGCTGTTCCATTTTCTAGCTTGTCATGGTGACAACAAAAACAAATCTTCTTTAGCTCTTTCTTGTCCAGCTCAGGCAAATAATATTTATATATGTATGCATGTATGTATACATATCATACTTATAGTCATAATTTTTGATATTTTTATCATTACCACCATTCAGGTACTTACTTATACGTTCTTAAAGGTGGTTTGCAGAAACCGTTACCACATTACCATTATCACCTTACCATTACCACATTACACCTACCGTATCTACATTACCATTAGTAGTCTCATTATCATTACCATTACCATTACCATTACCAGTATCATTATCATTACAATTACGTTAAAATTACCATTGCCATTACCAGTACCGTTAACATGACCAATATCATTAACATTACCATTACCAGTACCTTTAAAATTACCAGTACCATTAGCATCACCATTACCAGTACCTTAAAATTACTATTACTCGTATAGTTAAGATTTCCATTTTTATTACCATTACAATTATCACTATCATTACCTTTATCATTACTATTGCCATTCGCATTATCATTACCATTACCAGTACCAATACCGTTAATATAATCATAATTATTAACATTAACATTACCAGTACTCTTAACATTACCATTACCATTACCATTGTCATTACCCTTACTATTACCATTACCAATATCACTACCATTACAACTACCATTTCCATTTCCATTATCAATAACATAACCTACTGCAGAGATTTAAAAGATTAAGCCGGGTAGTCATTTTAGAAAATCAATCTTTACAATTTTTATATGAATACCCTGCGAAACAAACTGCGTATAATCCCTAAAGAGATTATTCCCGGATAAGCCTACATGGGATTTAATTGGGCATTATTTGACCCCAAGTTCGCACCGACGAGTAAATTGGAGATGCGTTAGTCCCCAAGCAATAACACGGTGCTACAAGAAAAAAAGTTACGAAATACACCCGAGGGTCGAGAACAACGTTAAAATATGAAAAAACAACCGTTATGTTCGTACTTTATGCAATTATCTACTAACAGCTTTACTAGTCTTCATACGGTTTTAAGACCCAAATATGTTTTGAAAAGGGGACTTATAGAACTTTAAAATAATGTATAATAATATGTATGCGAGACTTGGCTTGTTGGGAGTTTTCATCGGGTAAAATTTAAAAAACCCCTCTTTGTCTCAATTTTTCAAATTTGACCATCATAATTTCAAAAATTTCTATCAAAGTGGCCAAATATGTAGCAATTATCTAAAAGAACATTTATTTTCGAATAAAATGCTACCTCAACCAATGCAATTTCATACAAATTGCCTAAGTTTGGAAATTCAAAAAAAAAAAAAATACGGCTTGAATTTATATTTTTTATGTACCTGACTTGCAAATTTTTTGAGCAGTGTGGGTAAGGAATTCATCAATATTTATTTTAAATTGATATATGCAAAGACTCTTTAGCCAAAAATTTTTTTCATGAAATTTTCAGAAAATGGGCGTGGCACCACCCATTTATATTATACTTTTTTGTCTCAAAATTTACTTCACTGCTCTCGGCTGAATTTGGTATACACTTTGTGCTTAGCCT